TACATATCATACACACATACATATACACTTGGTCATCTTATGTCTTAATAGGAAAAGGGTGAGCATGCCCTCCCTTGACATGGCTCCTTGGGCGTCCCTGACAGGGGAATTGCCCTCAACAAAAATGGCCGATGATGGGGAAAGCCGTGCGCCCTTAACCAAAATGGCCGCTCCGGCCTCGCTGGCTAGCTCCTGAGAGAGGAGATGGGCGGCAGTGCCCGCTTCCAAGATGGCGGAGGGGGCGGCGCCATCTTGTTACCTAACGTCAGGCGGTGAGAGTTGAGAGGAGGAGAAGGAAGGAAGGAGGAAGGAGAGAGGCGGCGGGAAGATGGCCGAGAGCGAGCGGCAGGCCGGGGAGCCTTCGGGGCCTCAGGAGGACAGCCAGGCGGCCCCTCGGAAAGGTCGGGAGAGCGGGAGAGAGCGGCCTACCTGGCAGGGCGGGAGGGAGGGCAGGCCTCACCCCAAACAGGCCCCAAGCAAGGACCCCTCTGAGGGAATCACTACTAATCACTACTAAGTATTATTACTACTAATACTATTACTATTACTATTAGGATCCCTCTGAGGGAATCACTATGGATTATTATTAGTAGTATTATTATTATTACTACTATTACTTTTTATTATTTACAATCATAATTTCTAATTATTATTTATAATCATAATTACTTATTATTCATTAATATGTATGAACATCTGTATGAATATACATATATAAATACTTTAATAATAATTTATAATTATAACTATCATTTTTATTATTTATAATCATTATTTCTAATTATTATTATTTATTATTATTATTTATTTATTTATTAATATGTATGAATGTCTGTATGAATGTATATATAATTATTGTACATATTGGTGTCTATATATATTAATAATATATAAATGTATTCATCTATATTTGTGTGTGTGTATTTGAATATATAAATAAATTTGTATATATGTGTATCTGTTTATATATATATATATATATTAATATGCGTGAACATCTATATGAGTGTATATATATTTATAATTATTGTACATATTTGTGTCTATATATATATACATATATTTGCAATTTACCAACCTAGGTCTATATATATTAATTATATATATATGAATATATAATCTTTGTGTGTGTGTATATATATATATGAATATATATTTATCTTTGGGGGAGTGGAGTGAGCTCCCACTGTTAGCCCCAGCTTCTACCAACCTAGCAGTTCGAAAACTACTCCGGTGGGAAGGTAACGGCGCTCCATGCAGTCATGCCGGCTACATGACCTTGGAGGTGTCTATGGACAATGCCGACTCTTCAGCTTAGAAATGGGGATCAGCACCAACCCCCAGAGTCGGACGCAACTACACTTAATGTCAAGGGGAAACCTTTACTATACACATACGCATACACACACCTGTTTCATATATACTCATATCCTGAAGGTCATTTAATATGCAATCATTTTAATAATGTTACGCATGGTTCCAAGTCTGTGTCTGTTGAACCCTGATTATTATCTTGGATTTTGTAGAACTTTGGATTTCAAAGGGTGGGGTAATGAACCTGCAATCTTCTTTTCCTCTTCCCCAGAATCCCCTGAGGAGGCCATTCTTCCCCTGGGCCAGAAATTCATGATCCCCAAAAAGGAAATCAACATGGTTCCCGACATGGCAAAATGGAAACGCTCCCAGGTAGGTTATTATTATTATTATTATTATATCCTGGATTATTGAAGACTTCTGGCACAAGCATACCATAGAATTGTGCTGAAGGACCTAGAAAATAGCTATTCTATCTGAGGTGGATAAATAAAACTTCAGATTTAGAAATATAGTTGGCATGTATATATATATTTATATTTCTACTAGCTTGGGGACCCGGCAATGCCCGGCTTATTAGAAAAAGGCATTTTTGGTCACTAGGGTTCTGTAGGCCAAGTTTAGTCCAGATCCATCATTGGTGGGATTTAGGGTGCTCTCTGGATGCAAGGTGAACTACAGCTCCCACATGGGTGGATCAGTCCCACCCAAACCTTCAGTATGTTCTGATGGTCAACGGGATTCTGTGTGCCAAGTTTGGTCCAGATCTGTCGCTGGCTGGGTGCAGTTCTCTCTGGATCCTGGTGAACTACAACTCCCAGAAGCCAAGGTCATGTCACTCATGTCACAGTTGGTCATGTTGAGTCTGTGTGCTAAGTTTGATCCCAGTCCATTGTTGGGGAGTTGCATTTCCTCTGGATGTGGGTGAACTACAACTCTCTGAAATCAAGGTCATTCCTCCCCCCCCCAGTATGTTCTGTTGGTCACGGGGGTTCTGTGTTCCAAGACTGGTCCCTGTCCCTGTCTACATGGGGGTACTATGTTCCAAGTTTGGGTCAGGTCCGCCATTTGTGGGAGTTGCAGTGTTGTCTGGAAGTGGGTGAAGGTACTCCAAATCCCATAGTCTGTGCTTCATTCAGTTCCCACCCCAAACCCCTCCAGTAGGTTCAGTTGGTCATGGGGGCTGTGAGTGCCAAATTTGGTTCTGATCTATTGTTGGTGGTGGTAATGATATCTCCCAATGTAGGTGAACTACAACTCCCAGAAATTAAGGTCGGTTCCTCCAAACCTCTCCAGAACATTCAGTTGGTTATGGGGGTTCTGTGTGCCATGTTAGTCCCAATTCTATCGTTGGTGGGGATCAGAGTGGTGTTTGATTGCACGTGAACTATACATCCCAGTACCTACAACTCCCAAATGTCATGGCCAGTTCCCCCCAGATCCTCCCCCCACCCCCAGTATGTTTTGTTGGTCGTGGGGAGTCTGTGTGCCAAGTTTGGTCCACGTCCGTCATTTGTGGCGGTCGCAGTAATCGCTGGATGTGGATGAACGTCCTACAAATTCCACCGTATTATATATGCAAAATATCTAGTTGTTTTTCTCATTATTCTCTCTTTTTAAAGGCTTATGCAGATTATATGGGCTTCATTTTAACCCTGAACGAAGGCATCAAGGGCAAGAAACTGACCTGCGAATATAGAGTCTCAGAGGTGAGCAAAATGGACTGTATTTTTCCTCTTTCTTGGCGTCAAAGCAACCCAGATCTCAGACTAGTCCAGACAGGATTGTTTCACAATCGGCGCTGACAAGATTACCATCTGTCAGCTGCAAAAGGCCACCTTACTGGGATCTGCACACATTATTTGCCAATACACCACATAGTCCCAGACACTTGGGAAGTGTCCAACGTGTGATCCAATACAAAAGCTAGCATAGTGATCTTGTTTGCTGTGGACTCATCTTGTTGTGTTTCTAATAATAATAATAATAATAATAATAATAATAATAATAATAATAATAATAATAATGTCTCACCCTGGTCATTCCACAGATATATAAACCCATTTTCCTACTTCCAATAGACCTCACTACCTCTGAGAATGCTTGCCATAGATGCAGGCGAAACGTCAGGAGAAAAGTTGCCTCCAGAACATGGCCGTATAGCCCGGAAAAACCTACAACAACCCAATAATAATAATAATAATAATAATAATAATAATAATAATAATAATTCAACACAGCCATTCTTTGATGGGTTCCTGTAGGTAAAATAGCAATAATAATAATAATAATAATAATAATAATAATAATAGTGACTGCAACCACCCTTTATTAGGATGCTACAAACAGAATAATAATAATAACAACAACAACCATATAGTAATAAATAATTGCAACACAACCACCCTTTGTTGGGATTCTGCAGGCTAAATTATAATGATAATAATAATAATGATAAAAATAATTGCAACTGCAACCACCCTTGGTTGGGGTGCTGCAGACAAAATAACAACAATATAGTAATGATAATAGCAACACAACCATACTTTTTGGGATTCTGCAGGCTAAGTTACAATTATAAAAATAATTGCAACTGCAACTACCCTTTGTTGGGGTTCTATAGACAACAACAACAACATACTATTATTATTACTACTACTACTACTACTACTAATGATAATAATAGCAACACAACCACCCTTTTGGGGATTCTGAAGGCTAAATTACAGTGATGATAATAATTGCAACTGCAACCACAATTTTTGGGATGCTACAGACAAAATAACAAAACAACAACAGTATAGTAATAATAGCTACACAACCACCCTTTTTGGGATTCTGCAGGCTAAGTTATAATGATAACGATGATGATAATAATTGCAACTGCAATCACGCTTTGTTGGGATGGTACAGACAAAATAACAACAACAACAACAACAATGTAGTCATAATAATAGCAACACAACCACCCTTTTTGGGATTCTGCAGGCTAAATTATAATGATAATAATAATGATAATAATAATGGCAACTGCAACCACCCTTTGTTGGGATGCTACAGACAAAACAATACCAATGACAACAACAACAATATAGTAATAATAATAACAACACAACCACCTTTTTGGGGATTCTGCAGGCTAAATTATAATGATGATGATAATTGCAACTGCAACCACCCTTTGTTGGGATGCTGCTGACAAAATAACAACAACAACAACATAGTAATAATAATAGCAACACATCCACCCTTTTTGTGATTCTGCAGGCTAAACTATAATGATAATAATGATAATAATAATTGCAGCTGCAACCACCCTTTGTTGGGGTGCTGCAGACAAAATAACAACAACAATAACAATATAGTAATAATACAGTAATAGCAACACAACCATCCTTTTTGGGATTCTGCAGGCTAAGTTACAATGATAATAATAATTGCAACTGCAACCACCCTTTGTTGGGATGCTACAGACAAAATAACAACAACAGAATAGTCATAATAATCGCAACACAGCCACCCTTTTTGTAATTCTGCAGCCTAAATAATTATGATAATAATTGCAACTGCAACCACCCTTTGTTGGGATGCTACAGACAAAATAATAACAACAACATCTACTACTACTACTACTAATAATAATAATAATAATAATAATAGCAACACAACCATCCTTTTTGGGATTCTGCAGGCTAAGATATAATAATAATTGCAACTCCAACCACCCTTTGTTGGGATTCTGCAGGCTAAATTATAATGATAATAATAGCAACTGCAACCACCATTTTTTAATGCTGCAGACAAAATAATAATGACAACAACCCTTTCTTGGGATGCTGCAGGCAAAATAATAATAATAATAATAATAATAATAATAATAATAGCAATGCAACCACCCTTTTTTGGATGCTGCCAGCAAAATAATAGCAATAATGACAGCAACCCCTTTTTGGGATGCTGCAAGCAAAATAATAATAATAATAATAATAATAATAATAATAATAATAATAGCAATGCAACCACCTTTGTTGGGATGCTGCAAGCAAAATAATAACCATAACAACGACAGCAACAACTCCTTTTTGGGATGCTGCAGGCCGAACGAACGGTCCCGTCTCGGGCCTTTCCTGTGGCGTGACGAGCTTTTTTTGCTCCTCCTCCTCCCCTTGCAGCCAATTGAGAAGCTGGTGTCCCTCCTGAACACTTTGGACCGGTGGATCGAGGAGACCCCTCCGGTGGACCAGCCCTCCCGCTTTGGGAACAAGGCCTTCCGGACATGGTACGCCAAGCTGGACCAGGTAGGCAGGGGGGAATCGGAGGGCGATCCTGTTGGTAGAGTCTCTCTTCAGTGGAGAATAAATAATAAACACAACATCTATAGACAGACACAGAGGCAATTTAACATCCCAGCTTTCCGGCTTCATGAGGGTATGCTCGATTCCGGCCACGGGGGGGAGCTGTTGCTTTACCGTCCACTTGCGACACCGAGTCCTTTGATGGGGTACTTCCTCATTCTTATGCATGCCGCTGGAAGGTTTTTATGGTGTCGTAAATTAGTTAAATTAGTAACCTAAATTTCCTACTTGACAGAAGCAACTGTCTTTTGGGCTGCATAGGTCAACAACAAGCTAGACTATTAATGGTCGGGAGCTCACTCTGACCCAGGCTGGCTTTGAACTCATGACCTCTCGGTCAGTAGTGATTTAATGCAGCTGGCTATTAACTAGCTCCACCACAGCCAGGTCCTGTTTCCCCACTTGCGCAATTAATGGGAAAAAGTAACGAAATTGTGTTGTACTGGCAACATTTTTACCAACTATGTTTTAGAAACATGCCTTTCCCTTTCCTTAGGGGGCAGAGGGCCTGGTTGCCACTGTGATCCCCAAAGACCTGGCCGGTGCCGTCCCCGAAGTGGCCGTCTACCTGAAGGAATCGGTCGGGAACTCCACCCGCATTGACTACGGGACAGGTAGCTGTTGTTCACTCATGGATCCAGAACCACTGTAATAATCCATTGCAAAAATATTACATTACCATATATACTCGAGTATAAGCCGACCCAGATTAATTACACTATATAATAATAATAATAATAATAACAATAACAACCATAATAATTCCATTGCAAAGTTATTACATTACTGTATGTACTCGAGTATAAGCCAACCCAGATTAATTACACTATATAATAATAGTTACAATAATAATAATTCCATTGCAAAGATATTACATTTCCGTATATACTTGAGTATAAACCGAACCAGATTAATTACACTATATAATAATAATAATTCAATTGCAAAGATATTACATTTCCGTATATACTCAAGTATAAGCTGACCCAGATTAATTACACTATGTAATAATAATAACAATAATAAAAATTCAATTGCAAAGATATTACATTCCCGTATATACTCAAGTGTAAACCGACCCAGATTAATTACACTATACAATAATAATAATAACAACAAATATATTACATATATACTCCAGTATAAACCGTCCCAGATTAATAACACTATACAATAATAATAATAACAATAATAATTCCATTGCAAAGATATTACATTACCATATGTACTCAAGTATAAGCAAACCCAGATTAATTACACTATATAATAATAATAATATTCAATGGCAAAGATATTACATTACCGTATATACTCAAGTATAAGCTGACCAAGATTACACTATACAATAATACTAATAATAACAACAAAGATATTACATTACTGTATGTACTCAAGTATAAGCCAACCCAGATTAATTAACTATATAATAATAATTACAATAATAATAATTCCATTGCAAACATATTACATTACCGTATATACTCGAGTATAAGCCGACCCAGATTAATTACACTATATAATAATAATAATTAATAATAACAACAATAATAATTCCATTGCAAATAATTCCATTGCAAAGATATTTAAGATAAGGCTGTCATCTGTAAAATAAATTGGCATTCCTATTTCCAAGGTTTAAATAGAACGTATATATTCAAGTATAAGCCAGCCCGAATATCAGCCAGCCAGGTCCATCACTCGAATATAAGCCAAGAGGGGCTTTTTCACCCCTAAAAAATGATGTATCGGTGAATAATGCATGCAAATCTCAGTAGGGTGGCCTTTTGCAGCTGAGAGATGGTAATTTTGTCAGCGCTGATTGTTTTTAAGTGCAGGCCAAGGTCTTTGCAACTGCATAGCCAGCCGATATGCTGCTGTTGACCAGCAGTGGGTGCTGTTGTCCTTCCAGTTGTTTGTTTAGGTTTTTACATTGGATACTGTGATGTTTTTATCCTTTTCAGTGCTTTGAGTCTCTTTTAGGGAAGGAAGCAGAATAATAATAATAATAATAATAATAATAATAATAATAATAATAATAATAATGTAATCACATTATTTTAGCCCTCTTGTACCCTGCCTTGAGCTGTAAAGTTGCTATTTATTACTGTTATTATGAATATCATTAATATCGATCAATAAATATAATAAAATAATATTATATTTATTGGGGTCACAACCTGCAGTCTTAAGGAGCTCTGCCTTGTCCTTTGACTCCCCCCCCCCCCCCCCCCCCCCCCAGGCCACGAAGCCGCCTTTGCCGCCTTCCTGTGCTGCCTTTGCAAGATCGGGGTCCTCCGGGTGGATGACCAACTAGCCATCGTCTTCAAGGTCTTCAACAGGTAAAGAAGGCACCATCCAATCCCTCCTGACAGATGGCCATCCAGCCATAGATATGATAGAGAAATAGGAGATACATAGTAGATATGTCCTAGAATACTTGAGTTGAATGGGAACTGAAAGAGTGCCATCCAGTCCAATCTACTTTTGCCAGGTCAGGAAGGCACAATCCGATCCCTCCCGACAGATGGCCATCCAGTCATAGATGTGGTTGATTGATAGAGATATAGATACAGGTAGATGGATAGATGGATCGTAGACTCATAGATTTGAAAGTGAATCCAAGGGCTATCCAATCCCTTTGGCCAGGTAAACAAGGCACAACCCGATCCCTCCCGATGGATGGCCATCCAGCCATAGATATGCTAGATGGATACAGAGGTACAGATAGATTGATGGATGGATCATAGATTCACAGATTTGAAAGTGAATCTAAGACCAGGTAAAGAAGGCACAATCCGATCCCTCCCGACAGTGGCCATCCAGCCATAGATGTGGTTGATTGATTGATAGAGATATAGATACAGATAGATTGATGGATGGATCATAGATTCATAGATTTGAAAGTGAATCCAAGGGCCATCCAAATGCTTTGCCCAGGTAAACAAGGCACAATCCGATCCCTCCTGACAGATGGCCATCCAGCCATAGACATGATAGATAGATAGATACAGAGATACAGATAGATTGATGGATAGAGCATAGACTCATAGATTTGAAAGTGAATCCAAGGGCCGTCCAATCCTTTTGGCCAGGTAAAGAACACACAATCCAATCCCTCCCGACGGATGGCCATCCAGCCATAGATATGCTAGATAGATACAGAGATACAGATAGATTGATGGATGGAGAATAGATTCATAGATTTGAAAGTGAATCCAAGGGCCAAGCAGTTCAACGCCCTTTGGGCAGGTAAAGAAGGCATCATCTGATCTCTCCCAGCAGATGTCCATCAGCCATAGAAATGATAGGTAGCTAGGTAGGTTGATAAAGATTGATTGATTGATGGATGGATCATAAACTCATAGTTTTGAAAGTGAATCCAAGGGCCATCTAGTCCAACTTCCTTTGGCCAGGTTAAGAAGGCACAATCCGATCCCTCCCAACAGATGGCCATAAAGCCATAGATAAGATAGATAGGTAGATATTAACATATGACAGAATCCTGAGTTTGAAGAGAGCCTCAAGGGCCAGCCAGTCCCAACCCCCTTCTGCCAAGTAAGGAAGGACTCACGCGATCCCTCCTGACAGATGGCCACCCAGTTTAAACCGGACCTCCCTCCCTCGCCTCTCTCTTCAGGTACCTGGAGGTCATGCGGAAGCTGCAGAAGACCTATCGGATGGAGCCGGCCGGCAGCCAAGGCGTCTGGGGCCTGGACGACTTCCAATTCCTGCCCTTCATCTGGGGCAGCTCTCAGCTGATAGGTATTTCCTTGGAAGGGGGGCATATTTTTCTTTCCCGGCACTTTAAGGAAAGGCAGCCGAAGTGGCCCTTTGGTGTTGCCCCCCTCCCCAATTTAAATAATATAATAACAATTATAATATAATGTAATAATTATATAGTAATAGTTATATTATTATTATTATATAATTATTTTATAATAACAATAATATAATATAATTATATAATAGTTATATAACAATTATCATTATATAATACTATTATTATTATTAAGCTTATTATTATTTCCCCTTTTCCCCTCCAGATCATCCCAACCTGGAAAATAATATAATATAATAATTATATAATAATAGATATATAACAATTATTATTATATAATACTATTATTATTATTATTACTATTATTATTAAGCTTATTATTATTTCCCCTTTCACCCTCCAGACCATCCCAACCTGGAGCCGCGGCATTTCGTGGACGAGAAAGTGGTAAACGAAAACCACAAGGACTTCATGTTCCTCGAATGCATCCGCTTCATTACCGAGGTGAGGCCCATCGCTTTATTTTATACTATTCTCTCGATATGGTTCCCTTTTGTCCCCAAAAGACAGCAAAGGATCTGGTCACGATTCCAGAACTGGGGGGGAAAAGGAAAAGATCAATCCCTCCCGACAGATGGCCATCCAGCCATAGATAAGATAGATACATAGATACAGAACGAGACAGATATCGATAGATATTAGAGTTGAATCCTAGAGTGGAAAGGGAGCCCAAGGAAGGCCATCCAGTTCAACCCCTGACTGCCACATCAAGAAGGCACCATCTGATCTCTCCTCACAGATGGCCGTCCAGCCATATAAATGATAGATAGATTGTATTATTGTTGTTATTTGTGTCTATTTTGATGTGGGGATAGATTATGGGTTTTTTGTTTTGTTTTTTGAGTTTGTATTTATTTTTCAGAAATTACATATTTGTGTGTGTATGTGTGGTATTTATTAGGTTTTTATAAGTCTGCTGATAGATTGTATTGTTGTATTGTTATTTGTGTCTATTTTGACGTGGAGATAGATTATGGGTTTTTTGTTATGTTTTTTGAGTTTATATTTGTTTTTCAGAAATTATATATTTGTGTGTGTATATGTGGTATTTATTGGGTTTTTATAAGTCTGCTGATAGATTGTGTTGTTATTTGTGTCTATTTTGAGGTGGGGATAGATTATGGTTTTTTTTGTATTTGTTTCTCAGAAATTATATATTTGTGTGTCTGGTATTTATTGGGTTTTTATAAGTCTGCTGATAGATTGTGTTGTTGTTATTTGTGTCTATTTTGAAGTGGGGATAGACTGGTTTTTTTGTTTTGTTTTTTGAATTTGCATTTGTTTTTCAGAAATTACATATTTGTGTGTCTGGTATTTATTGGGTTTTTATAAGCCTGCTGATAGATTGTATTGTTGTATTGTTACTTGTGTCTATTTTGAGGTAGAGATAGATTATGGTTTTTTTTGTTTTTTGAGTTTGTATTTGTTTTTCAGAAATTATGTATTTGTGTGTGTGTGGTATTTATTGGGTTTTTATAAGTCTGCTGATAGATTGTGTTGTTGTTATTTGTGTCTATTTTGAGGTGGGGATAGATTATGGGTTTTTTATTTTGTTTTTTGAGTTTGTATTTGTTTCTCAGAAATTATATATTTGTGTGCCTGTGTGGTGTTTATTGGGTTTTTATAAGCCTGCTGATAGATTGTATTGTTGTATTGTTATTTGTGTCTATTTTGACGTGGAGATAGATTATGGGTTTTTTGTTATGTTTTTTGAGTTTGTATTTGTTTCTCAGAAATTATATATTTGTGCGTGTATGTGTGGTATTTATTGGGTTTTTATAAGTCTGCTGATAGATTGTGTTGTTGTGTTATTGTTATTTGTGTCTATTTTGAGGTGGGGATAGATTATGGTTTTTTTGTTTCGTTTTTTTTAAGTTTGTATTTGTTTTTCAGAAATTATATATTTATGTGTGTGTGGTATTTATTGGGTTTTTAGAAGTCTGCCGGTGGGAGCTAAGCAGGGTCAGCCTTGGTTCGTGTTTGGATGGGAGACCGTCAGGAAATACCAGGTCCTATAGGCAATAATAATAATGATAATAATTTTATTGTTTAATATAATATAATATTGTAACATATTATAATGTAATATATTACAATACACTGATGCTTGTCTGTTCTTAAGCTGAAAAGCACACGTCTGTATTTTGGATGGATTAGGAATCATCTGTTTTCCCTTGTGATGGGCAGTAAGAGCACCTAAAGCTTCAGAGAGCTTCTGTTCAACCATTTCTAAGCTCCCTGCTTGGGCGGTGATGGCACGATCGTCAGCATAGATGAAACTCTCTGTCCCTTCTGGCAGTGGCTGGTCATTTGTGTAAATGTTAAACATTATTTTCACCATCTGCTTCTCTGACCCTGGAAATCAACAAAAAAGCTCCTGTTTGGTAGCAGATTTCCTATGAAGTGGGTGAAGTGGTAATAGTATAACAATATAGATACATATAATAGTAAATAATAAAAGTAATATAATCATAAATAGATATAATAGTAATAAATATAATAATGTAGGTAAATCTAAATAATAACAGAAGTAAATATATCCATAAATAAATGTTATAATATAGCAATCACAATATATAAATGTTATAAGAATAAATATAATAAGTAAATATGATATAATATAATAGCAATATCAGTATAACAATATAAATAAATATAAAGGTGGTATTTATTTATTTACCATATTTATATACCGCCCTTCTCAGCCCTTTATAAGAATTTATTATTCTTATAAATGTTATAAGAATAAATACAAGTAAATATGATATAATATAATAGCAATATAAGTACAACAATATAAATAAATATAAAGGTGGTATTTATTTATTTACCATATTTATATACCGCCACTCTCAGCCCGGAGGCAGCTCGAAGCGGCTTACAGACGGCAATCAATATCCCCAAACAACATAAAATACAATTAAAAACATTACGTATAAAATAAATCACATAAGAGCAGCAAACAATAAAAACCATAAAACATAAGTAGTCCTTTGTGATATTATAATTTTTTTCTCAGGGGAAGATGATGCTTTACAGTGTCAGTATCACTATATTATTACAAATAATAATAATAATAATAATAATAATAATAATAATAATAATAATAATATCCAAAATCCTTATATCAATCAGCATACTCAGCACTTTTTAATCTGTACCCAGTACATTTGCCGGGTATAGTTTTATTGTGTCACGTTGTACTGTTTTTATTGTTTACTGTTACTGCATTAATATTTTTGATTTGCTTTGGTTTATATGTAATTGTTATATTGTTGTTTTATTGTGGCCTTGGCCTTTGTAAGCCGCATCGAGTCCTTTGGGAGATGCTAGCGGGGTACAAATAAAGTTGTTGTTATTATTATTATTATTATTATTATTATTATTATTATTATTATTATATTGTTAGCAACCTTGAGTCCCAATGGAGAGAATGGCAGGATAGAAATAAAGATGATGGTGATAATAATATTGTTAGCTGCCTTGAGTCCCAATGGGGAGAAAGGCGAGTTGTAGTAATAAAGATAATAGTCATAATAATATTATTATATTATTTTTATTATTTTATCATCATTTTGTTTATCTTTTTCTGAATAGTTCTGCCTCCTACTTCCACTAGGTGGCACCATAGAGCTATAGTGTATAGATCTTGGCTATAGCTCTCCTGCATTCTATTGATGGACTATGGAAACTAGCTGGGTGAGTCACACTCTCTCAGCCTCATTAGAAAGCCCCTCTGGATAAACCTGACCAAGAAACAACTGAACCAAAAATCCGGGTTTCCCTATAATTGGGATGCCCCAAATTCTTTATTTAAACTGACCTTTCTGCTTGTAATGAAATATATAAATATTAATAATATAACAATATAGAGACATTATAATCATAATTAAATAGTAAATAATAATAGTAAATATAGTAAATAATAATGATACTATAATCATAAATAGATATAATAGTAGTAAGTAAATATATTAACATAGATAAATCTAAATAATAATAATAATATTGTAGTAACTGTTTATTAATTGTGTAATGTGTTAGGTTGTTAACTGTTTTTATACTGTAGCACTGAATTTTTGCTGTTCGTATTTGTTGTGAACCGCTGTGAGTCGCCTTCGGGCTGAGAACAGCGGTATATAAGTAAGGCAAATAAATAAATAAATAAATAAATAAATAAATAATAAAAGTAAATATATCTATAGATAAATGTTATAATATAGTAATCATAATATATATAAATGTTAGAATCAATATAATAAGTAAATGTGATATAATATAATGCCAATATAAGTATAACAATATAAATAAATATAATAATATAGTAATAAAAATATAATAATATAGTAATAAAAATGCCATAATAATATTAGTAAATATAGCAAGTAAATATAAGGATAATATAATAATATAGATAATATAATATAATAAAAGCAATATAAGTATAACAAATAAATATAATATAGTCTTAATATAAATAATATAATAATATTAGCAATGTAAGTATAACAAATAAATATAATCTAGTCTTAATATAGATAAATGTTAAAATAATAATAAATATAATAATAAATATAATAGTAATAACATAAATAAATAATATTAAGTACATTTAATAAGCAAATATAGTGGTAATATTATATAGGTAATGTATTATAATAACAGCAATATAAATAATAACAATATACATAAAATAATCGTAAATATAATAAGTAAATGTAATTTTAATAATATAAGTAATATAATAATAAGTAAAATTAATAATAGAAAACTTACATATAATAATAATATAATAAGCAAATAATAATACAGATAAATCTAAATAATAATAAGCAAATATAACAATATAAGAAAATATAATAATATAGATAATAAGTAAATGTAATAGTAATAATATAATAAGCAAATAATAATATGGATAAATCTAAATAATAATAAGCAAATATAACAATATAAGAAAATATAATATAGATTATAAGTAAATATAATAATAATAAGCAAATAATAATGTAGATAAATCTAAATAATAATAAGTAAATATAACAATATAAGAAAATATAATAATATAGATAATAAGTAAATGTAATAGTAATAATATCATAAGCAAATAATAATATGGATAAATCTAAATAATAATAAATATAACAATATAAGAAAATATAATAATATAAATAATAATAAGTAAATATAATAATAGTAATACACTAAGCAAATAATATAGATAAATCTAAATTATATTAAGAATAATATAGTTAAATGTCAGAATAATAATAGCAGTATATTCAATGGGATCTGTGGCCTCTTTGGGAACCCCAGCCACCCACCCACTTGGTTTCTATGGGAAGGAAAGAGACTCCAGTGAAGGAAACCAGGGTGGTCTTCCTTTCCGTTCCCAAAGCAATGCAACCTTTCTCTTTCTGCCTCTGCCTCCCTCTCTTTCCAGT